CAAGAAATACATTTAATCTATCATAAATAATCGAAAATCCAATGATTATTAAACAAAAATTGAATGATATAAGAAAATTTCTACTAAACTAGCAAAAAAAAACAAAATAATATTTTTCATTCGAACAATAACCGTATGATGAACAATAATAGTTACGATACAAAAAGACTCGATTCAAAGATTTAGCATTGTTAATAGTCTACGCTCACATTATCGTATTACTACACGATCAAAAAAGCCCATTTAAATATTTGATAGATGTTAATAAATTTGAGTTATGCTACTAATCTATTTTATTCTCTAAAAATTATCGTCCACATCTATCTATTGTATTTTTATTTGTATATTTTTTTTTCTTCTCAAATTTGATTTTTTTTTTGTTTATTCTGATGTTTTTATCTATTGAATGAATGCGACTACTCATCTTTTTATCTAATACAGGCATTACATCAGAAATAAGGCGTTTCTTTCTATCGACAAATTCATTTTACTATCGTATGAATGTGAATTAGTTTCTCATGTTAACTGATAAATAGTTTTTGATTTGAAGTTTGAAACTTTATCAAACAAACTTTGATTTTTATCAATAAAATAGATTGAATTCTTTGATTATATAAGAGTTGCATAATACTTAATCGGATGTAGTTGTGTTTGTTTAGTACAAATCATCGATTTATTCTATGTAAAATATATATAAATACAAAACAATGTTTCTTTCACATAGCCATTCAATTTAGTAAATATTACTGTTTTTTTCCTAATAACATTTTTGATCAACAATTTATAATCAAAACATATTTTTAAAAGAAAAAAAAAATTGAAGAATGTCTAGACGATTTATATCTAATTCAATATGCACGACTAGTTATAATACAATTTACTATTCTAATCGTTTATCAAATTTTTTTCCAGCTGATACAAACCAATAGTGAACGACTACTAAATATTATTATCTTGGAAAAAAATCTGTTGAATTGTGTGATAAAAGTTGTTGCCGTAAAAATCTTGAATTATAGTCATTCTGCTAACTCGTGTTCTATGTTTAACAGATCAATGAAGAAAGGACATTTTTTTTTTTTTTTTTTATCAAATAAAAAGGATCTAATAATATTCTAATAACAAATTATTTTCATTTAACGATCGAACTTTTCAATCATGGAATGAGAATCTACACGACAAATTTTTTTATCGTAATCTACGTAACTTTTGCCTTTCACTTTTAAACATATATATTTTTCAACTTTTTATTTCTCTTAATCGAATTACACGCCTCTTTCATTAATATAGATTGTTTAAAAGCAATCTATTTTAATGATTGTAATATATCCCGATTTTTTAGCAATATTATGTTGTTTAAAGAAAAAACAGGAACAAAGTCATTATTTGTAAAGCAAACATAACAATTTTCATTTATTCTCATATGTAAGAATAAACTTTTTTCTGTTGAAATTTTAAGACTATTATTAGTCGAACACATATTTGAAAATACTTAGACAATGTACTAACCTCTGTTCCTGGTACGATGCTTTTTTGATATGATACATCATTTATCATTAAATCTTTTACTGATTGTAATTCATCAACTTTAACTGTTCCAATAAGACTTCGTTTTGTTATTCGACCAAAATCATATATAGCCAATAATAATGTTCGTTTATATAATTCATCACGTGTAATACTAAATTGAAATGTTTCTTGAAATGATGGATTTAAATTACGTTTTTGTACTTTTGTTTGATATTTTTTTCGACGATCAGGTAATAGATTTAATTTAACATAAGCATCACATGGTTGAGATCGATTTGAATCTCGTCCAGGTAAATTTTCAATTTTATCAATATTAACAATAAGAGCGGAAAGAGTTTGATTATAAAATAGACTAAAATAAATTTTTCCATAACCATATGATGGATCAGTATTTGGTATTTGTTTATATAAATCTGGTTGTAATCGACCTAGATTATCGTGTAAATATCGAACAACTTTAACACCATTAAGACCAGGTATTTCAACGGTTTCAACCGATAATTGACGTCGAATTGTTCGTCGAATAGGAAATGTACAAGTTGTATCAGTGGATTGCCTTATTAATGCTCGAGATCGTAGATCGTCTCTATCGTTGTTATCATTCTTATTTTTGTCTGTTCGATTATATATTTGAGCACCAATAATAGGCTGTGATGAGGATGTATCATAGGATGTTTCTTGATTATTATCAGATAAATGTCGACGTAATAGGGATGTTCGTCCTGATATACGGTCAGTTAATTGTTTAATATTGTTCAATAATGGAGGTGATGATACTGTAGAAGAATTATATTTTAATAATGGACTTGTTGGAGGTGTTTTATTAGACAATGGAGAAGGACGAGATACTGAAGCCAATGGAGGAGATTTTGGTACCAGATTAATTATCATATGATTTCCAATTGTATACGGTTCATTGCTTGTAGATGATGAAGCACTAGATGAAGATGAGACGGATGATCGAAATGGTGAATTTATGGGAACATTTAATAGTGCAGTATTACTATTTATTGGTTCATTATGACTTGCAGTACTAATCTTTTCACAATAATCATTGATTTGTATTCTATTATTTATATTAGAATTGTTTGTATCTGTTGTTAATCCTTTAAATGTTTCAACTGTTTGTTTTAATGTATTTATTTTATCAATAATAATATTTCGTGGTGTGGAGATTTTTTCCATTTGTGATCCAACAAAATTTCGAAAAAGTTCACTCATTATTTGATTTAATACATTTTTAATTTATAAATAAACAATAAAAGTCAATTTGTTTGTGCTATAATTAATAGAAGAAGAACACATAATTGACAAGGAATAAATTTTTTTAAAATTTAAAACAAAGAAAAATAATTGATTTGAATTTTTCATCTAGATGAATTAGATGTTAGTTTTAATCATCAGAACAAAATTAAATAAACAAAAAACTATTATAATGTATAATTATGTGCAATTTAGTTCTAGACATATACACAAAAGAAAATAGAGATTGAAACTATTTGATTAATCGAATAAACTGAAGAAAAATAAAATCATTTAAAATCAATAATAAGTTGCATCCTATCTTCTCTCCTTATTGTGTTTATAATAGTCACAATAATCTGACAAAAAAAAGAAAACAAAACAAAAAAAGTTGTCTATGATAGCAGTTGTAAATGAATACGGTGTTTATAAAATTCTTTCAGGCGCTAATAAAAAAAAAAAAAACTGTTCATAAGAATCTTATCAAAATTTGATAAATATCTATTATCTGGAAGGAAAAAAGCGACAGTTTTTTTGTTTTGTTTTTATTTAGGGCCTCTTTCGTATTTAACTCTTTTATATATGCTTATAAACATTTTATAAATTAAGTATAAGTTTTATAAGATCAAATCTTAAGGAGAAATTTTTTTAGTATGAGTCTAACTTATAATTCTTTCAAAATCATACATTGTACTGTTTAATTCAATTTAATAATAATTAAGAGTCAATGAAATAGAGAAAATGAACATCATCATTGTTATATTTTGATTTTTTACATTTATTCATTTTTTTTTCTTCTTCTTCTTCTTCTTCTATTCTTTATCTATTTACGTCGTTATTTATGAATGATATATTCTGTCTTTTAGAAAATACGACTAATAATAATAATAATCGAAAAAAAAAAAAAAGCACAATTTAATAACAAAAAGAAAACAATCCTCAGGAGAAATTTTTATTAGACATCAGTAACAGTGAAAAATGGTAAAAAGTGTTAGAAAAAAAAAAAAAGAGTTAAAATAAAAATTAATTATCCTTATTATATGGATTTTAATTTCTACACTCCTATTAGGAGTAAAAGATTAAACAAGAAAAGGGAAAATATGGAAATGAAGGATACTAAAATAATAGAGAATAAAAAGAATTTTAAGAATCAACTTCAAAAATATAATAATAAAAATATTTTCATTAAACAATTATTTTATTTTTTCTTCATAATCTTGTTTAGAACGTCAGAACAAAACACTTTAGTTCAATGCAAAGCTCATTCTTCAATCAAATATATATGAAAAGTTTCATGAAAATTTGAGGTAAGTCTTAGGCTTTCTAACAACAACAAAAAACAAAAAAAAAAAGAAGAAGAAGAAGAAGAGAGAAGACAATATTGATCCAACTAAAATGAACGGAATTTTCAATTATTTCTTATTAAACAGTTATATACATAAAGAATAAGAAAATTGATCGATGATGTGAAGGAAGAAGACATTCTGACGTAACACGCAAATATTAAACTATAAACTGTTTTCATGTCAGCTAATCAAAAAAAAATAATAAAAATTAAAAATATTACCCTTGAATGTCAAAGAGTGTGAACTATACGCGTTTCTCTAGTGAAAAAATATACCTGAGTTATATTTTCGTTTAGAATCAAATTAATTACTACGTATTTATTACTGTTGCCGTTGTACCCTAGTTAAAGAGAAGCAAGAAATAATTATCAAAATTCAGTTTTATTAAACATTTGAAAAATAAAAAATTTCACCGTTAATTTACATTATTTCTTTACTTTGGTTTTTTTTGGTTAATCTTGATTTATTATTTTTCTAATATAACTTGTGTTCTATTATATTTTCTATGAGATAATATGTTAAAAACTCTTGTGGGATCGAGAAAGGATTTAGTCAAGCTAAATATGAAATAGACGCGCATTCGACACGTAAATATCTTAAAACTCTGTTGTTGTTTTTTTCTACAATTCGATTGAAAAAAAGTCGTTTGTTTTAATCATATTTTCACAGAAATAAATTTCTTAATAAAATAAAGATTATGGAACTGAATTGATGACAGTTGTCTTCTCTTCATTAAAAGCACTTCACTTTCATTGAAGGACACTTCACTTCAACAAAAGGACAAACTTCTTCTATTCTCTCTATTATTTCAAATATATTGATTTGCAAAGGAGAATCTCCTAATCATATATACTGTGATGCAATTCAGTGAAACTAGACATAAAAAAATTCTAATCATTTTCTTTCGAATCCTTCGAATGTACCAATAAATACAAAATGAATTCTCTCAAAGAACTTGTAGAGATATCCCATAGAATCTCTTGTAAATATTTTCGATATGTCAAATGCGTTTGAAAATACAAAAGACAGACTAAAACACAAAAAAGTTCAATCTTTGAAAACACGCATAAAAGCGTATCTTCTCAGGTTAAAAAGAATTGCATTCAAACGCATTTTAACAAACACAAGCATTTAACGGATGGGCTAGAAATAATATCCCATTCAGTATTTTCTCAATATCTCGGTCAAAGTGGATCGCCAACTCTCAATCGGTTTTTAAAAGATTCTTTATTCAATTTTCTACATAAAACATATTGAATATTTCTTTGTGTACTATAAAAATAAAATAGTAGAGGGAAATACGAGAGAAAGTTTCTATATCGATTACTCTCAAACCCAAAAACAGGTTTTTCAATTTCAATATTTTGCGATATAAAAAAAGAGAAAATGGCTATTTTGTAGTTCTCGAAAAGTTCTATCAACTGACTATAAGACTCTTCATAGGCTCAAGAGGATTTTTCTTTTCTTTTTTTGATGATTTTTGATTAGTTAGAAAATGATAATTTTTTCCAAAATCATCGTTTTCTAACTGCAGTTTTGAGGCAATTAAGATAATTTGTATGATTCGGTCAAAACCACACATTATGACGTCGGCTCTGATTTATCTTAAAGCAAAATAATTCTTTTGTTACATCCGAACAGAGGAAGTCGAATAGCCCCATTTTCTTTCCTGTGCTAAGGCGAAGAAATCAAATTTTTCCTCTTTTTTGGCTTTTAGTAAAATCTTCGTTCGTGGCAGAAAAAAACATTTATAGCGAACTTATGATACAAGAAAAGAAAGGTGACATTCCGAAGCACCAGAAAATACATTTCGATTTCAGTTTGACGCATAGCACTGTTTTCAAAATAAATATTTTTGGTTGCGCTTTGGGTTTGAAAGTAATCGATATTGAAACTTTTCCATATTTCCTCTATATTTTTTTACTTTTATAGTACATAAAGAAATGTTCAATATGTTTTGTTGTAGAGAATTGAATGAGGAATCTTTTAAAAACAGATTGAGACTGACTGAACAGCCTTGACCGAGATATTGAGAAAATACTTAATGGGACATTATTTCTGACGCACCTGTTACACGTGATTCAGTAGAGTTTTACTATTTTGTATAGAATTTCTATTGAACCCAGGTCAAGCAACCTACTAGAATCCTACAAGATCCTATAGGATCTTACTGATAATAGGATTTCATAGAATTCATTTTGTAGGATGCTATGAAATCCTAAGGCAGAAGTTCCGTAGGATTCTTGTTATAGAGGGATAACAAAACTCTTATTGAATTTCTATAATAGAAATCTTATACATTTCTTACAAAATTCTACGGTAAGATTTTGTTTAGGATTTCTATTTTTTCGTTCTGTATGCATTTTCTTTTGTTTGTGTATAATAGAACATAATCACCGACGTATTTTGCAGTAACTCTAATATAAATACAACTCTACTGTAGAAAATGAAAAATTCTTTTATGCTTAAATTTTCGCACCGAATACTGTGAGCCATCGAAACTCACTACTGTTCGACGACGTGTGAGTCAGTATTCACAAGTCTTGGGCTTATCTCAGCTCAGAATCACCTGATTCTGGTTAACTGGGATTAGAGAATAATTAAACAATAAACCTAGTAGGATAAACCAGCAGAAAATCAGATAAATTTCTACTGTAATTCTACAGGATAGTAGGATCCTGAAGAATCTTGCAAGATTTAACAAGATCTGACTACAGAATCCTATCAGAATCTTACAGTAGGATTTTTTGACTTTGAGATTTTTCTACAAAGTCCTACAAGATTTTTTATAAGGTTCTTACAGGAACTCGTAAGATGCTGTAAGGATCTTGTAGGACCCTACGATAGGATTGTTTGACCTCGAAACGTCTCTTACCGCATTCTAAATCTTTATTTATCTACAAAGGTCAAACTTCGACGCAACTTTTACTCTGGCCAATGTGTAAAATTCGCGTTCATTCCGAGAGAACTGAGATCATTTGAGAGCCAAAAAAACCTTGACTGACTCATCAATTTGAAATGCCTGTCCAAAATCAAGAAAGAAGAAATTCAAAAAAGCAATACGGTTAAATTTTAGATCAAAAAATATCTACTTCATTTTGTCACCCAACTAGACCTAAATAATTATAGAAAGTGTTAGTTATTCTACAAGAAGCTTATTTTCTAATCTAATTTATAGTTTTGATTACAATTCAATAATTTGGTCTGAAAATTTTATCAGTACACATTCATCAAGATCATTTATATCTCCAAATTTCGTTTCATTCGGATGAACAGTATAGAAAAAAGCTTTCTGAGGGAGGAGGAGGTTCGTTTAGAAGGTTATTTTCAGTGTACTTTGTCTACTTACATTTATTTTTGTTTTGTCTTTAGTGAGTGAGTACTTCATTAGACTTATATCTTATTCATTATCATCATCAAATTCAAATAGAATCAACATTTTTCTTTTCCTTTTCTTTCTTTTGTTTAATAGAAACATAGTTGTCCTCTTTCTATAGACATGTTTTCCTTAACAAAAAAAATTATTTCTTATTCTTAATTTTCATATTCCAAAATGTCAAAGGAGAAGAACAGAGTAAAAAGTATCAGAAAATTGCG